TAGTAGCTGTTTCGCTGTACTCTTTGGACCATTCACCAACCGTGTCCAAACCATCGTAGCTCTAACATCTTAATCCTGGACAAGCATGGCACTGTCGGCAGATGTCTGATCTCCGGATAACGTCGGAATGCGTCTGAAAAAGCTCATTTCAGATGCTTTACCCGGACAGGGAGATTTTCGGTCATATATCACTATGGGCGAGCATGAAGACTGTCAGTCTTGGGTAAGTTTTTGTGCCACGTTTCTTAGTCCTCATCCTTATGGTGACCGAATAACGGCTGCATTTCAATGTGCTGTCATTCTCTGGCATCATCTGCATCTTTGCCCTGATTTGTTGCTAGAAATCGTCGTCACTTTTTTCAAAGACGACCATATTGCATGGTGAAAAGAATGTCATGATGCGTCATTCGCCGTATAGTTCATTCATTGCCTTTAATCCATTGTCACGTTTCAGCACTGCTTTACGTCTGATGATAAGTATCTTCCAGACACTTCACTTGTTTTTTGGAGCATTAGAGGTTCAGCGGCGTTTTCCTTAAGGAGTCAAGTCCCTCAACTTTATTTGGCTGTCGAGCAGCCGCGAGCAATGTGTTCGTTGTGTTTTTTATTTGTTACACGGTTCACATGTCTGACTCCTATGTGGTGGGTCCATATGGCCCCATTCTACCACATGGGTGGCCGTCATTGACAACTTTAAGCTATAGAAAAACTTTTTCTGTCGGTTTCATTCGGCAATGAGTTTAACGACTCACCTGGTATTTTCAACCTGTTTCATGCGTAAAATGCGTCGATTCTGCTGACAGCAGTATTTAATAACATGGAAACTTACCGACGGTGGCTCCCAGGTTTTCAACAAGCTTTGCAGTTAGTTTTTAAGTTGATTGAATTCCGTTATTTTTTTTAAAGACAGGAATATCCATCATTTCTTAATAATCGTTTAATGATAGCTTCTCGTTTTGGAGCTTCTGCAAGGACGAGGTAAAGGTAATATCTGTAGTGTT